TGCCTCCCAAGTGCTAAGATTAAAGGTGTGCACCACCACCCACCCAGCTCTGAATGGGCTTTTAAGAAAATCAAACCTGTGACATTCAAGTGCTTCCTTGTTTTAGCAATGAATACCCTTGACTTACTGCTTATTTGTACATAACAATTGGAAGTCTTTGCCTTCTTCTCATTGGTAAAGGAGTGGGCAGACATTTTCTATCATGGCTTATAGTGAATATTTCACTTTTCTGCCTTGTTTCTGGTACTGTCAGTAGGAGAATTCAAGCATGCATGTACGTGACCAAGTGTTAGCTCTAGTACAGGCAATTCATGGGCACCGGCCTACAGTTTTCACATATTGAAGTGTTGCTTTTTTCTGGATTTCTGAAGCCCCAGCTATTTCAAAATGTAAATCTCACATTATAGTTAAGTCCAGACTTGGCCAGTGTACCCTGTGTCACATTGCTAACCCTCTGCTAGAATTCTGAGAGTAGTAACCCTTTGGGCAGAGCTCTGAGCTGTGATACAAAGATCTCGATTGTGCAAAGAAGTATTGAGAACAAGTCCAGATACGTGTTGCCTTTTATTTTACTGTTCCAAGGCAGATCCTCATCACATAGCCCAGGCAGGCCACATACCCATAGGCTTCTTGTTCAGCTTCCTAGTGCAGCTGACAGCTCCATGTTGCCATGCTGGCTACTTGTTTTGTCTAGCAGGGAAATAACTCAGATGCTTTTTTTTACTGTTATCTGTTTGTTTTGAGACAAGGTTTAACAGCCCAGGCTGTGCTTGAATTTATGGTAAGCCTCCTGTCTCAGCCTCTATTGAGTACTAGATTATATAGGTTAAGCCTATACCTGGATTAAGCTGCTTTTCAGGAATGAATTCCTCCTATATTTGGTCCTGGGGCTTCTGTTCTTTCCTCCTAAGTCTAGAAACTTAATTATAGACTCTTAAATCTTCATTAACAGTGATCATCTTAACCAGAATTTAGAAAGGAAAGTCATTTCCAATATGTTCTTGGAAGCTCATTTTCTGCCCTCATTTAAGTTCCTCTTTCACTGTGTGTGTGTGTTTCCTTCTATCCGTGACAACATGGATTTTAACAAGGTTTAGTAGGATATTAGTTAGCATTGGTGGAAATTATAAACCATTAAAGAAATGTGGGAGATTAGCTGATTTAGCCCCCTAATCTTTAACTGACTTTCTAGCATCTTTATTATATTTTCATTCAAATCACCCTTTTATTCCCACTGAAAGGGAGTGTGACTGAACTAAGTGGTCTGGCGAATCCTGTGAATGTGTAAATGTATTCTTGGTTGAACTCAGTTTCTTTACATGGGTTCAGATGTTCATATTAGAGTCTCTGTATTTAGTGTACTTCTGATTTGTATGATTTGTTGGGTAAAACAGTCCATGATTATTCGTGGCTTGAGAAGATAGTAGGCTCATGGTGATTAAATTGAGATTGTGCTAGATTAAAAATAATGAAGAATGCGATTAAAGCATTTGCTATGTTAATATTGTCATTTTTGTAACATTATCAGGTATGAAATGTTCATTTAAAATGATACGGACCATTTAGTGCATCCTCATTACACAGCTGAGCCACCGGAGGCATTTGCTCAGAGCTTGTGGGTGTACAACTTTGCCAGTGGTCTCTCTGCTCACTAAAGATGTCATCACAGTTGTGTGTTCCTATGAGTTTGCTTGTCAGTGTACATGTGTGCACCTGAGTGTGTATTGGTACATGCTTCTGCAAGTTGCCATCATCTGAGTATGTGTAGAGATACGAGCATAGTGTAGCATATCTTCTCTTGATCAGTATCTATCCTTTTTATTTTATGAATTTTTAAGTATATTTTGTCTCATTCTTTCCCTTCCCTCCAACCTCTTTTCTTCTCTTCCCCTATCCACCCAACTTCATCCATTTGCTTTTGAGTGCTTGTGTGCTCACTTTCGCTGTCTTGTCTGTCTCTCTTAGTTGTGATATCTCTCTCTCTCCTCTCTCTCTCTCACACACACACAATAATTAGCCAAAAAAAAAAAAAAAAAAAAAAATTGAAACAAAAATCCTGTGTCCCCTCATCTCCATGGAATCCATTTGTGTAGGCTAACTACTCCTGGACATGGTGTGTGCCTGCCTTCGAGTTTTCTTGGAGTCACCCTCTACCTCTGGCTCTTACAGTTTTTGTGAATCTTCTTGCATATAAATCCCTGTGCCCTGAAAGAAGGGAGTTTGATGAAGACATCCCTGTTTAGGGCTGAATGCTCCAAAGTCTCTCACTCTGTGCACATTTTCCAGCTGTGAGCCTGTGTTTATTTCCTATCTGCTGTAAGAAGCATCTTCTCTGATGAGGTCTGAGGGACCTCCATCTGTGGGGATAGCAATATGCTATTAGGAGTCATTTTAACTGCTTTGTTTGCTTAAGACAATGATAGTAGTAGACATTCGCACTGAACCTATAGTTCATCTAGTGTCAGGTTCTTGGCTACTTTAACAGTTTCAGTTGTGAGTTCCATCTCATGGAATGGACCTTAAATTCAATAAGAAAATGATTGGTTATTCGTACTACATTTGTACCATTATCATCTTTTTTGGTTGTTGTTTCTGTGTTTCAAGACAATGTGTCAGTATGTAACAGCCTTGGCTCTTCTGGAACTAGCTTTGTAGACCAGGCTGTCTTTGAACCCACAGAGACCTGTTTCCAAAGTGCTGGGATTAAAGGCTTGTGCCACCAGGCCTCACTGCCTTTAATTTTTTGAAGCATGATTTCATTGAACCTGAAGTTCATGAATTAGGTAAGGCTGGATGGCCAGTGAACTTTGAGGTATTCACCAGTGCCTGCCCATTGTATCCCCCCTCTCCTCCCCAGCCTGGAATTATGGGAATGCCTTCTAATGCTTTTTTTTTTTTTTTTTTTTTTTTTTTTTTTTAACATGTTTTGAGGCTTGAAACTCATCATCATGTATGGAGGCCAGGGATCAATGTTGGATGCCTTCCTCCATCTCATTCTTTTGAGACTTGGTTTCTCACTGAACCAGTCACCCAAGCTGGCTGACTAATGAGCTCTTGATGTATTTGCCACTCCCTCCCCCTGAGGTCACAGGTATCTGCCACCACACCCAGGTTTTACCTAAGTACTCCAGCCTTTATATTTATGTGGCAGACAACTTTACTAACTGATCCATTCTTCTATTCTCCCTTTCTTAGGATGCTTGTCTCTAGGGCTGTTAGGGATTAGAGTGCTGTTGCCCTCATTGAAGACTGAGACATGTGGACTACTTGAGTTTACGACTTCAGAGCCACCTGGGCAATACAGCAAGAGCCTGTTTCAAATAAGTGAATAAGACTTATTTCATTCATAGTGTTTTAGTGTATTTTAGGTGGAAAATCCTTAGTGCTATAGAAATTTACGGATTTAAGTAGTTGTTTATTGTCTTAAACTGTTTACACCTATTTCTTTAACTTGGCTTTTACTTCCTGACTTTAAGGCAGTTGAAGTAGTGGGTATTTTCTTTCTTTCCAATAATTAACACATTGTGCAAAGCTTTCTTCCCTGTGTGTAGTTAATTGCTTATTAAACACTAAAGAGATTGGAGTATTTCCTTTTTCTTATTACCTGCTTTTAGCCCATAGATGTGAACAGAATCAACATTTTTAGTTTTGGCTGTGAGGCCTTCCTAATTTCTTCTTTAATATATGTTTCCCCTGAAAATAAGAATTCAGGACAATTGTGACAGTTGTCATTTGTTTCTCTGTGGTTCAGAATAGAAATAGCAATGACATCTTTTAGTATAATTTTTATAGCTGTTATTGAGAAATAATTGTGCAGGGTGAACACTTTCATGGTCTAATACATTGCCAAATTGTACCATTATCTCCTTTCTTGTGTTTTCCCTCTGCACATACAGCTGTATATAGAAACTATTGTTATTTGTTATCTATTATAAATGATCTTTTCCATTTACAGTTCCACTTTAGGACGTTTAAGACAGACATTGAACTGAAAACATTTTTTTTTTACTAGCCCTCAACTTTTAAGTGGCCCTGTTGACTTACACAAACTTATATCTTAATCATCCTATATTGCTCCCTCCCCAAAAAGAGCAGTGCAGGGCTTCTGTGGCAATCCTTGTGGAAGTCAATGCAGGATAATGAGCAACTGGAAATGGGCCTTAGGTCTCCAAGGAGACATTGCTTTCTTTTGTGACTTTTGTGTGACCCTCAAGTCCAGATGCACAACTGCCTAGAATGGGATATGGATGAGCGTGTTTGTCCTTTCTTGTATAATTTCATTCCATCTAATTTGCACAAGTTTCTTCTACCTGCTTGCTCCAATTTCGGTAGGCACTTTTTGGCCCAAGAATGGCCTAGTGTAAAATGAGTTTCTCATCATCCTGAAAAGCCACAGACTTTACTTGGATATCATGTTGTTGGAAGCTTCCATGAAGCTGATGCTGTGTGAAGGTGGAAATGCCTACAGCTCCTTTGCACTTTGCATTTCATTGGACATCTTAATGGCAGTTACAGTAACTGTGACCTTTCAGCATTGTTTTAATCAGTTACTGGATTTTAAAGTCTTCTGTGCTCAGTCTACCTTGCTTTGGGCAGATAAGGTGCTTTGCTTGGTGTTTTATAAGTGGAGCTGACCAAAACTTTTAGTCAGTCTGGGAGGACATTAAATCCTGTCCCCAGTGTGGCATCCTGCCCCACTTTGGCAGCCATTACTGCTGGAAGTCAGCCTGTGCTTGGAAGGAACACTGAGTGGATGTGTGGGTGCCTGTGCTGTCTTCTCTTCCTGTGGTTAATAGTAATCATCTCTTTTCCTCCCTTCCTGCTGCCTCTGTCCTTCTCTCCCTGCTTTATTCAATTGTCCTGTGTACCCCCAACCCTGCTTTTCTTTTAATTTTGTGACCTCTTGCCTCTCTCTGTCTCCCCTCCTTGCTTGGGTTCCATGTTGTTAGTTGTTACGTTCGCATGCTCATTATCACCCTTTTTTGTACTTCAAATCCCAGCAGCTGCCCAGCCAGGTCCCCGAGCACAGCCCTGTGGTATATGGGACTGTGGAGAGAGCTCATCTTGCTGCCAGCACCCCTGTCACTGCAGCTAGCGACCAGAAGCAAGGTTTGTGTATGACTGTTTCCTCCCTTTACCTTTAGTCTCCTTATTAAGTACATTGCTCTTGGTATGCCATCAGACATCTGAGGATTATTCAGATACCTGCTCTGTAGCAAATCTAGGGGAAAGGGTCTTACATTTCACCTGCCTCAATGTTGGTATCTATGTGTAAGTAATTGCTTAGCTGCCTTCAACTGCTGTTGTTGCTTGCTTTTTTTTTTTTTTTTAAACAAAGCTTGTGTGGGGAGATTAATTAAAGCATATCTCTCTATATATTACTTGCCAAGAACAACACAGGTTTATATTTCACCATTCCTTGGGGATGTTGCTATTTCTTACAGAAGCTAACATGTCTAGGGCACCAAACCCCACTAGAGAACTAGGAACTGGAACCCTGGAAGCAAACACAGGCAGGCCCTAAGTGTCCTGTCCTGCTGAGGCCTCCCACCTGGGCTTCTCACTTGCTTCACTGGTGTGCCATAGCCAGGGTTGTTCCGAGGACATGTCTCCCACTTGCTCAGTAAATGATAGCCATTGTTGCTGATGCAGGAATCATACTAAGACTCTGTGGTACAGACCTGGAGCTTGTTAAAAACAAGTATATACCTTTTGTTAAAGAAAATTACTCCCTCAGTCTTGGCTTCCCTGACTATGGATTTTAGCTTTACCATCGCTATACTCTGTAGGGACATTGGAGCCCAGAGCAGTAAAGTAAGCATGCCCTCTCCTGCCTTCGATTTTACTCTCAAGTGAGTTTGTCTGTTCATTATTAGTTGGGTTGGGGACATTGTTTAAAGGCATTCTCACACTGTAGCTTGGGCTAGCCTGGAATTTGCTCAGTAGCAAGCTGGCTCCTGCCTCAGCCTCTTGAGTGCTGGGATTACAGATTGGCACCTCCACACCTTGCTGATTTCAGGGTTTTCCCACAAGATGAAAAGATAATGTGAAATACAAGACATACACACCTATTGAGGGCTGACAAGTGGCATTACAGCTTTCATAATATTTTAAGTCAAAAAATAAAGAATAAACACTTAGGCAGCACGCTTCCAAAGGCTGTCATGTCAGTATAACGTTCATGTGTGTGAGCTTAGTGCTAAATTTTAGGTACCAAAGATGTCGGCCTGGAAGAGGCTGTTGTGGGTTTGGGGGAAACTTTGTTTTTTTGTTTCCATTGATTAAAGCACTCTTAAAAGAAAACCCAAAAATTTGACACAGGGCCTGGTTTTGAAGCTCAGGTTGTTTGGGAACTCACTATACAATAAGCCACACTTAAGTCAGCTTTGAGATCTTCCTGCCTTTTGGGCACTGAGATTTTGTAGGTGTGTGTTGCCACATCTGGCGGTAATGCATTTGAAAGAGATAGCGCCTTTGATTTTCCTCCTAGTAGCAAATAAGTTTTAGGAGATTCCCCTTAAAATTTTAGTGTACTTTTACACAGATGTAATCGACCTTTTAGAATTATGCTGGCCATATTAAGCACGCCCATGCACTAGTCTATTAAATACATCTTCCTTGCATATTTTTTTCCACAGCTATGCTCATTTATAAAAACATTGGTAACGTGCTAGATAATAATCAATTGGACCTGTCTGAAAACAGCATTGTTTGTAGTTGTTTTAGGAAGAAGAATGCTCAGATTTTAAAAATACATATTTTTTTGACATTTTCAAGAAGGGAAGATTGAGAATCCTAGATCCTCTCAGGTTTTTTTTTTTTTTTTTTTTTTTTTTCTTCTTTTGCTTCAAGTAAACTTGAATTAAATTAAAAAAAAAAAAAATCAAAAACCACCTTTTCAGTCATACAGATGTTTGAGATGGCCCTGAAAGTCCTGTGTTTTAAGACATTTTATAGTACTGATGGGGACTCTTTGTGACTGCTATAATCTTCATATTGAGTAATCACTCAGGAATTCTCAGATTGCCAACGCGTGAAGCAGTTTTCAGTCTAAGTGGGGTTTAGTTTCTTTTTTATTTTGAAGCATGATCTGCAACCCAGTTTAGCCACTAGATCTCTGTGTCACTGAGGATGACCTTGAACTCATGATTTTTTTTTTTTTTTTTTTTTTTTTTTTTTTGCTGGATTCTTAAATTACAGCTATGTACCACCTCACCCAAGTCACGTGGTGCTGAGGATGCAGTCCCAGGAATTGTTTGTGCTAGGCAAGCTTTCCACTCATTGAGCTACACCTCCAGCCTCAGTAGCCTTATAAACCTTTTAGGACTAGTATTTGCCATTCAAATACTACTAGAACGTGCTTGCTAGAGTTGAGTTTTTATTTTGTTCTATTTTGATTATACTTTTCTTTATGCTTGCTTTTCAAACTATAAATTCATTTTAGGATGAAGTGTAGAGGAAAGCACACACACCTTTGGGTAGAAGCGGGCAGATCTCTGGTGTTGAGGCCAGCTTTGTCCCAGTCCTGGGGCCGCACAGTGAGACTGCTGTCACTGTCTCCCTGACGGGTCTGTGTGCAGTGTCCCATGGGTTAGTTTTCTGTCTATCCAGGGATTGTCACTGCTGAGGGTTTGCATTGGGTAAACAGCGTTCCCCCTGCTTGAGCCATCTGACTGCTTCTATTTTTCATAAGCCCTTTGACCTCTGCCTGGAAAAATAGGGACTTTCAAATCAGATTCGAGCCATTTGTTGGTTAGATAGATGGCTTCTGCACCAGGACTGATGTCTGAGTCTTCGTTTCCTCTGCTGTAGAGCAGGGACAGACAGTAGTCTATCCTCATAATAGTTATAATAAATGAAGGGAACAGTGTATGCAGGCCCTTTAACCCAGTTTCTGCTAGGTGCTTAATAAATGCCATCTGCCATTATTAATCTGGTTTCTCAGAATTCTTTTACACGAGCAGCTGAATGGCTAACAAGTTAAATGTTACAGGCAGATGCACCATTTCCCTTTTGTTTAGCATTTTATAAAGATAAAATAGCTTGAATTTGTTATAAAGAGAGAAACTGAAGTGCATTAGGATATTAATTAATCTTTATCTTTGACAGCACATGTAACTAGGGCAGGACACTTTGTTTCTTGAGGGACACACTTCCTTCAGTCAGGTGTGTTGAAACAAGGGTATAGTGAGCTGATAGAGAGAGCACAACACTCCCTACAGTCAGTCGTAAGGACTGTTGGAGAAATTCCCTTTGCATTCAGAAAGCAGTAACTTTCGCCCTTAGCCATCTGGGGTTTTTTTTTTTTTTTTTTTTTTTTTTTTGCATTCAGGGCAGTCCTGTCTGTCAGGAGGAGGAGTGCTTGCCATTCTTGGTCTTTACCTAATAAATGACCGTGGTATCTTTTTAGTGGACACAAAGTGAGAGTTACTCAGAGCTATGTAATAAGTGTATTTTGTTAAATGGATGCACACACATGTATAATGAACTCATATGGTTCCCATGTATTTTTGGTTTCTGCCTTGGCAACTTAATCTGAGAAATTTGGCAGTGAGGATTAACTGCTCCTACTTTACAATGATGAGGACACTGAGTCTTAGCTACTATGCCCAGCACTTATAGTGAATTCTGAAGCTATGACTGCATTCACCTTAGTGTGGTGATGTGTTCCCCGTTGACATGGGTAGCAGTGTCCTCATTCACAGATATCACTGCCTGTAGTCACATTTGAGGGTGCTGCATTGAGAGGGAAGTCTCTTAGCCTTCTCTGTCTTAGAGGACAGCTAGAAGCTTAAGTAAGCCCAAGCTGGTGATAGTAGGGAACTACTCTCTCACACCGATTCCCAAGTCATTCACCTAGAATCAAACAGTCACGTTGATTAGCACCCGTTTTTATTTTATTTTATTCTATACTTGTGGTGCCTTTATGGTTATCATTTCCTACTTTCTTGACCTTATTTTGTCTGTACACGGATTTTGTTTTCTATATAATAATTCCCACATAGAGATGTCCAGTGTTCTTTTTCTCCGGTTGGTTCATTTGATTATTAACTTTGGTTCTCTTTGAGGAACTGATTAACTTTTAAAGAAACAGATGACTCTCTTTCCACACATCTGTTGTTTTTGCTCAGAGGCTTTTCTGAGCGATGGAAGTTCATTTTGAAACTACCTTTGATGTCCAAGTGCTTGATGTTGTTGGTCATTTAGATGGAGTTTATAACAATTGGTTTCTAATTATTTGTCTTTATACTGGCATTCCCAGACAGTACTGTGCCTGTAATAGCCACGGGGAATAAGATATAGAAGAGTAGAAGTTTTACCTTAAATGGTTGCAGTTGGCTGGATATGGTAGCACATGGCCTGTAATCCCAGCATTCCATAGGTTGAAGTAAAGAGAGCATGAGCACGGGGAACCTAGAAAGACCTTGCCTCAAAAAGTGGGAAATTGTTAACTTTAGTTTTTATGAGACTTCCTCTTGTACTCATGACATACATCATCATTTGGGGGAACTAATTCCCTCTTGGGGGAACTAATTCCCTCTTCCTCAAAAATAAGCATCATGTGACCTGGAGACTAAGCGCTAGTCAGTGTGGCTAGTAAACAAACAGGACAGTGTTTTTGGAACCCAGTATTTTGGCCTTTGTTTTGCTGCCCATGAACTTGGCCTAAGGTAGTACTCTAGAGTCTATGGTTCAAAATTATCCTTAAAATTCATTTCTCTTTCCTCAGAAGAGAAACCAAAACCAGATCCAGTGTTCCAGTCTCCTTCCACAGTCCTTCGGCTTGTCCTTAGTGGGGAGAAGAAAGAGCAAGCCGGCCCCATACCCGAGACTACTGCAGGAGAGCCCACCCCAGAACTTCCTCTGACTTCATCGCCTGCCACCCTTGCTCCGCTTGCCCGGAGTTCAGTTCCTTCCCCTACTTCTACTGCCCTTAGCAGCCAGCCACTGTTCACTACTGTTCTTGAGGCCAAGTGTGAACTTTCCTCCTCAAAAGAAGATGCACTTCCTGTACCCAGCCCATCTTGCACAGTAACATCAGACCCTTCACTGACAGAAGACAATGATATATGCAAGAAACCTTGTAGTGTAGCACCTCATGACATTCAGCTAATTTCTAGTACTAACCTAATTAATGAAGTGAAAGAAGTTGGTGAAAAGCTACCCACCAAGGACAGCATTGTGGACATGGTGAAACAGGAAGTGCTGCCATTGACTCTTGAATTGGAGATTCTGGAACATGCCCAGGAAGAAATGAAAGTGGAGTGCACCCCGACTCCCATCACCCCTTCCACGCTAACTCCCTTTTCCCCAGCCCCTCCGACTCCCCCAACTTCTCCTCCTTGCATCCCTGTCATTTCTGCCACCACTGCTCGTTGTCCTGTTGCTGCCACTATGGTCCAGAGAGTTGTTGAAGAGGGAGAGAGCATAAGAACTTGCCTTAGCGAGGATGCAAACGAAACTCAGAACAAATCAGAGGCAGAAGCAGATGGGTCAACAGAAGAGATTGTGGATTCTCAGAATCTTAATTCAAGAAGGAGCCCTGCCCCAGGTAAGCCCTTCTGCCCTCGCTGATTTTATGCTTGCTGACCATGAAGAGGCAATGGAGTTATTTTTTGCTACTTTCCTTGACTTCCAGAAACATCAAATGAATGCAGAAATTCCTAATCTGATTTCTTCAGTGGTGTGCTTGTTTTTGGGTTTTTTTGTTTGTTTGTTTGTTTGTTTGTTTTGTTTTTTTTTTAGTACAGTCTGCAAAAGAGTTACTCCATTGTCTAAAAAAATGCAAATGGAAATCCCCAAATACACTAAATGCCTCCAAGGTATATGTGTCTATACATGTTGAGTTGTTTTGTTTTGTTTTGTTTGGAAACTTATTTCCTCAGTGTTTCGTTCTGTTGCTTCAGAGCTGGAATGGAAACCAGCATGGCCTGTAGCTCCCAACCCTGTCTTCTCAGAATTTAAAACCCGCCAACCAGTCCATGACTGGAAGTCCGCCACGAAGAGCTCAGAACATCTGGGTTTCAGCTGCAGGTGAAGCAGCTGCAGCCCTTTGGTAGATACTGGAATCTCCCACTTCTCTTACATGTTTCACTTTAGGCCGGGAGCGATAGTCACCTGTAATCCTAGCACTCGGAAAGGCAGGGCAGGAGGGTCCAGTCACCCTCGAACTTGAGGCTACCCTTTCTGCAAAGTGACTTCTGGGCTGTCAGGGCTGTGTATCACTCCTGTCTCGATGAGGCTGAAAAGAAAAATGTTTCTATTTTTCCTTTAAGTTTTCATATAGTTTTTATTCTGAAACTCTTACGGTCTTCTCCAACTCGAGTTGTTTTTTTAACGTAGTATCACCTAGGTGTGATGATTGGATTTTAATTTGTATCAATTAAAAAACCGTTAAGATTACTTTATGTGTTTGAGCATTTGCCTGTGTGTGTGTGTGTGTGTGTGTGTGTGTGTGTGTGTGTGTGTGTGTGTGTGTGTGTACTGCATGCGTGTCTGTGATGAGATGATGTCAGGTCCCCTGAGCTGGAGTTATAGACAGTTGTGAGCTGCCGTGCAGGTGCTAGGAAATGAACCCAGGTCCCCTGCAAGAGCAACCAGTGCTCTTAACCACCGAGTCATTTTTCCAGCCTGAAAATCTGTCAAACACCAAAGCTTACCTGGTGCTTACCATCTGACTCTGCAGTGAGCAGCTCAGAATATACAAATGCTGACTTGTCTGCATCGACACAGCTGGCTGTACAGCACTGCCCTGTGCTGTGTGGTTTGAGCTCTGTGCACTCGGCAGGTGAGGCGCTTTGCTTTCCTTAGTACGTTGGGTTTACATGGGCAGAGGGGTGTGCCGTGTGGTTGATAGGCACCTCCTGTAGTTATCAGCAGTTTCCGGTGCTGAAGAGTCAGGTACCATTTGGTTTTTCCTTGTTTAGTAGATAAACTTGGTAAAGTGGTCACGGCATGCAGTACTTGTCCTTACTCCTTCTGGGAAGCATTTCACTGCACTGTCCCAGATGGGGTCCTGGGTCCATCAGGATGCTGCAGTTAAAGAATTATGTGGCCCATATTAAATGAAAATTGTGTGTGGCTGTATCAGAGACTGGCCAGGTTTTTGTTTTGTTTTAATGTTGACTTAACTTGACCACCAGATCCTTTGTGGTTGTGGGAATCTTTAGGTTGGTTTTTGCCTTTTTGAGATGGTGTCTCACAGAGCCCAAACTGTCCTCAAACTCAGTGTAACTGCAAATGACTTTGAACTCCTGATGCTCCTGCCTCCACCTCCCAAATGCTAGCATTGCAGGCATGCAAATGCACACCTTGGCAGTTTTTGTATATTTGATAGTGAAAGTAGATTTCCAAGCAGAAAACACATTGTTTCATCCAGGAATGATTTTGTGGAATGCCAGCTGTGTCCATGATTTACACTAACTTTCCCCCTTTTAAAACTTTGCTCATAGTGCAAAGTTTCTCGGTATCTTTTATAAATTTGCAAAATCATTTTTAGCTAAATTTTTCTGGTTATAGATTGACCATAAGTCCCTCTGACACAATTGTGTTGACATTGTCACATGTCCTAGCTAACAAAGCTTGGGTTGGATGGATGTCCTTAAGTAAACATTGACTGGGAAGGCATATTTTCCCCGAAAGTGTGTGTTTGGAAGATGTTAATAGGTTTCTGTTTGTGCTCCTTTGATTTGGACTCGCATACAAGGAGAATATTATAATTCAGCAACACTTCCTTAATTTCAGCTGTGAGAAAAACATAAATAAGTCAGCTTGACTAGTGAGGGTCAGTAAGCCCTAGGGATGGATCTCTTCCCTGTTGTTAGCTTTGCTTGACCTCCTCAGAATTTAACATGTCACTGGAGGATTTCACTGCTGGGGCCAGGGCACAGGTCAGACTCTGCATTACTGCACACCTTCCCTCGTGTTCTTACTGTCCCTATCACTGCCCACACCACACGGCAGTTTTTGTTTGCTTGTATTTATTTATGTATACAGCGTTCCAGATCTCATTACTCATTACAGATGGTTGTGAGCCACCATGTGGTTGCTGGGAATTGAAATCAGGATCTCTGGAAGAGCAGTCAGTGCTCTTAACCTCTGAGCCATCTCTCTAGTGCTTCACATAGCAATTTTTAAAGTAATGCCTCTAAGCACGCTTTTCCAGACTTAGGCTGAATGGTCCTTAGAAATGAAGGCGTCCATCCCTTTGCAGCCACTGCCATGAAATCATGGACACTCCTCTAGTAGCTCAGTTCCCCCGTGTGTCTTCATGGGATGCCTCTGCCCACTATTTAGGACCATTCCAGTGTAGCTACAGTAATACTGGGCTTCTAGTAGGCTTCCACACAACCTAGTAGAACTGGCCCTGTATTCACCAATGCCCTGCTTTCCACTGCTGTCTTCACCTTGCACAGAAGCCACAAGCACTGTTTTTAAGGTCTCAAAAGTATAACTTTCTCCTAAGTGGTACAAGAAAATACACAAATATGTTTCCTTCAATGCAGATCTTTTGTCATTGTTTTCTTAATAAGTGATGAAGACTTAAATTCTTGGTTAAGGAGTTGTGAGAGAAAATTAAATGTGTCATGGTTAAAAGAAGCTGATGTGGTTTGTGCTTGTAAGGCCAACAGTCAGGAGGCCGATGCAAGAAGGTGGCTGCAAGTTATAGCCCTGCCTGGGCTATGTAGCAAGTTCTAGGTCAGCCAAGGCTACGCAGCAAGAACAGCAAGACCCAGCCTCAAAGAAAACAGACCATGAAATGATGGATAGTCTCGTAGAAACAATTCATCTTTTCTTGGACTGTTTTTACAGGTATTTGAGTGTGTGTGTGTTTGAGATGTCTTAAACTATATTCCAGGCTATTGTAGATACTACTGTGTAGCTTAGGCTGGTTTCTAACTCACACAGATCTTCCTGCCTAGGATTTCAGATGTGTCTCCACAGCTTCTCTTGGCTCTTTTCAGTCATTGCCATGGCAGGTGTCAACTGTTGTGACAGCAGAGAACATGTCATTTAGCATGCAGTTGGCTTACAATGGAGTTTCAAGTTGTCTGGCAGTCACTCCTCCTCTTTTACATTAATAGGACTTAGTAATTTTATTGCACTCCTCAAATCATTTTGTTGTATTTTTATAAACCCTTTTCTCAGATATTATGCTTGCTATTGAAGCAGTTGTTGCGTGTTCCTTTCCTTGTGTAGGTAGGGTCATTGAATCGAGCTTGTATGTGGTAAGATGTACAATTGTTATTGATCCTATGAATTCTGACAGTCTTGTAACCACTGGCCCCTTCTAAGATAAACTCTGAACTTCCTGGGTTTTACTCAGTGGTTCTGCCACCCCACTCTTCTCAGACGTCTCGGGTGTCATTTACACAAATGGACCACGGCTCCAGAAACCTGGAGATCATTCCTGATGAAGACCCTTCGTGAGGCATCTTAGCTAGGATTTATATTGCCAAAGCGATGCAGGTGGTGGGTTTATTTCATCTTAAGAGTTTGTACTTCATCAGCCTGGGAAGCCAGGGCAAGAGCTGCTGCAGAGGTCATGGAGGAAAGCTGCCTACTGGCTTCTTTGCTCTGGACCACCTGCCTGGGAACGGTGTCACTACTAAGCTGTCCCTTGTCACCAACCAAGAAAATGCCCCAGCAGACTCTGGCTTGTGTCAGGCTCACATAAAACTAGCCAGCACGTAAAGTTAGACCTGTGATTTTATGTGTGGTGTGATTCAATGCAATTTCTCATGTATTTGATTACACCCCAACAGTAAGGTGTGATGGTAAATAACAAACACCAGGGCCTTAGCCCTTCTCATTTCTGTGCCATAAATTTGTATTTCTTCATTCAGAAAATTGTAATAGTATCCTCATAACATTTGTTACTTACCTCTCAGTGTATGACTTCTAAGCATCTTATTATTTGAGGTACTCTTTAGTTATTTTAAGGACACAAGTATTTCCTTCTTGCAGAATTTGTACAAAACAAGTAAACTTGATACCTTTTGGGAAGAAAATTGGAGGCAGGGGCATTGAAACAGTGTTTCATACTCTGTACCCTTGGTTGGCTTGGAACTACTATGTGGACCAGGCTGGCTTTGAATTCAACAGAGACAGATGCCTGCCTCTGCCTCCCAAGTGCTGTGATTAAAGCCGTGCATCGCCAGGACCAGGGCTGGCTCCTGAAAGACTTACTCTGGCATGAGGCAGTGCAACATCCTTCAGGATAGTCCATATGGAGGTGTGGCTTTGATTAAAAGGTTTTTGTGCACATTGTACCATTTTAACCTCACAATAAACGGTACTCTAGAAGGGACTGCTGAGCTGTAGCATAGTGAATCAGTTGTCTGTTCAGACCTGGAAGGATGAACCTGTGGATGTTTCACTTCTAGGAAATATCCGGAACAAAGAGGACTGGTTATCAGGAGTTGGGAAAGCAAACAGTGGGGCAGGAGCTCTAATGTGTAGGTTATGAAATATTTTCCAGTTAGTGATGTTTTCACAACTAAGAATATGATACAAATCACCTGATTAGTTATGGATGTGCTTAGGGGAATT